GGGATATATACATATATATATTGAGAGAGAGAGAGAGAGAGAGAAACATCGATGTGAGAGAGACACATCGATTGGTTGCCTCTCCCATGACCCCGACCAGGGCCAGGGACCAAACTGGCAACCAAGGTATGTGCCCTTGACCAGAATTGAACCTGAGACTCTTGGGTCCGTGGGCTGATGCTCTAAATGCTGAGCCAAACTGGCCAGGGCAGGAAGGGGAAATTTTTGTGGGGATATCTTAAAACCACTACATGACCTCATAGGGGTATTACAAGGATTAAATGAGATAATCTATGCAAAATGGTCAGCATAATGCCTGGCAACAAATTTTGATTAATATTATTTCTAAAGAAAGATCAATGGACTGTTGTTTACCTAGGGAAATTGGTTTCATCTGGATTAAGATATCAACATATGAAATTAATTTATTTGGTATTTAAAAATTATGTAGAATTATGACTGTTCAGTTGAAACAGGTATCTAAAACAACAAATATTTCTAATATACTCCCTGGCTTTAAGCCTCTTTCATAATTTATTGTGCAGGGTGTTGGGGAGGAAGGGAAATGGGATGTTAGTACTGCCTTTATACCTAAAATCATCAGGTCAGGGTATACAGAATTATTAAGTAATTTAGTACAGATGGAAAGATGCTAGAATTACTCTCCATTATGTGCCCCAATTCTTACTATTATTTCCCTGCTGTTATCTATAAAATTAGCTGGCTCACTTCTTACAAAGCCAAAGACAGCACATCTCCATTATCTTATTAGATACTCCTCTTGAAATAAAAAGCCCCTCTACATCAGTAATAGCATCCATTAACACTGCCACACTCCAGCTCCCTGGACACCGATGATCATATGATCTGGGCATACTAGACTAAGGTAGAATAGGGAGTCCACAGCCACCCTAGCAGATTGAAAATGGTCACTTCAGGTGCCTTAAGTCACAAGCTGGGAGATGATGGTGGGAGGGGTGGTACTAGAAGGGAATGGGATTTAAATCAACATTCGAGGTTTATTTTTATTTTTATTTTTTCTTTATTGATTTGAGAGAGAGAGGAAGGGAGACGGGGAAAGAGATAGAAACATCGATGAGAGAGAACATCGATGGGCCGCCTCCTGCATGCCCCTCACTGGGGATCAGGCCCACCTGGGCATGTACCCCTACTGGGAATTGAACCGGTGACCTCCTGGTGCATGGGTCGATGCTCAGCCACCGAGCCACACCGGCTGGGCATAACATTCGAGTTTTAAACTAGATAAAAGACCTAAGAGTTGTTAAAATTGTCCAAGATGTGAAGGGATACAAAAGGCAAATTTACCATAAAAATATGGTTCAAAGTAGTGATTGAAGAAAAATAAACTGCTTCAATTTATAGCCCATGGAACTGAGCCTGCTCAGTAACAGCTAATCCTTGTAAAGTCCTTACCGTGGGCTAGGTACTCTGTTAAGCATTTCAAAAATAGTCCCTCACCTAGACCTATGAGGTGAGCACTATTATTATCACCATTTCACTGAGGAGAAGTTGAGCAGTTTCCCGAAGGACATAACTAGACCTAGCATTTGATTGTAGGTGATCTGGCTCCTGAGTCTATGGTTTTAGCCACTAAGCTATACTGCCTTGCCAACCATCCACTTTCATATGGCATTTTATTCTGGTGTGATTTTCCCTTTTGGGTCTTCTGAGGCTGACATTTCTGTTCTTTCTACACTGTTTGTGGTTAAACTTAGTGCCTGGAGGACAGGGATACAGGTTTTAATAGTTTAAAATGAGGTACTGGACTTAATATTTCTCAAATGACATTTTCCCAAATGGTATGAACTTTAATGAAAACATGTAAGATCTGACAGTCTGATTTAAGCTTTGAGCAGAGCCAAGAAATAACTAATGCTCACCGTTTCCTACAAACAGTACAGATCTACACAATGATTTGATTCTTAAACTTTTTTCCTAGATCTTGATGCATTTTGAGGTCTAGGCCCAGATGGGCATTGCATAAATGATTTTTGACAATTATTAGAAAGCTTATTTAGTTTTCTAGACTGTCCCACATATATTCAAGATAAAAATGTCTTACATCTTGTTGACCACTTGTTTATTTATTATCGAGACCCCTAATGAGTAGAAGGCATGGGCTCTGATATCTGTAGCAGGATACTTCTGAGGCATCTAATAGAAACTCTGACTCAAACTGTTTTAAACTCAAGGAAAAGGCAGAATTTATTTAATTAAGCAACTCAGTGGTGTTATCAGGAACCCAGCTTTTTTTTTCTTTCTTTCTATTTTTCAGCTCTGCCTTACTTAGTATATATGCTTTGACCTAAGGCTGATTTTCCTCCTAGTCACAAAATGGCTGCCGGTGGCAACCTAGGTACTTGCTTCCTTTTTTATCTAACAGGATAGACAGGGGACACACTCTCTCAAACAATAGGATGTTAAGTCCTTTCCTTTAGTCTAATTGGGCCACACACAGCTTAACTAAGATGAATCAGCACCTACCACTCTGGAAGTGGGAACACAGTTTGGATTCTATAAGAAGGAGGAAGGAGCAAATACATGGTGGAGTTTTCTTTATCTGGAAAATTGTGACCTAACAGAGAATCTTGCAGATAATCATGACGTTCAGCAATAATGTATGTAGGGTTGGCAGATTTAGCATATATAAAAATTGAGGATGCCTAGTGAAATTTGAATTTCAGATAAACAGTAAACAATTTTTTAGTATAAGTATGTGCACCTCTTTCTACAAACACTACAAATTTACACACTGATTTAGTTCTTAAGCTTTTCTCCTAGATCCTGATTGCATTATGAGGTCTGGACCCAAAGGAGCATTAAAAAAAATTTTTTTACAGCGATTAGAAAGCATATTTAGTCTTCTACCCTTCTTTCACACGTATCCAAGATAAAAATGCATACTTATACTAAAAAAAAAATGTATTCATTGTTTATCTGAAATTCAAATTTAATGGGCCTCCTGTATTTTATCTAGCAACTCTAAATGTATGTAACATTCTTGGCACATAGCAGGCATTCATTCAGTGGTAAGTATTAGTGTTCCTTCTACATAAGAAAAGAGCTCAGTTAAATGGCAGCATGGTACATCTTAACTCTTACTAACCTTCTAGAAAAGATATAATTTTGATCAAAATTGCGATTAACTGAACTGGATGTGGCTCCAAGAAACCATGCACCACTATTCAAAACCAAATCAAAGCAAACGTCCCTAAGTGGAAGGTTGTATTTGTATATCTGGGATGGCACAATATAATAAAGCATCTAATATTATCACTTAAAATGAAACTGGACCAATATCAATGGATATTTAGTTATTGGTTTTCCCTTATTTTATTCCGAATCTATACAGTTAAACCATTCTTCATTTAACATACAGGGATGAAAATGGAGTGATTGCCTCAGGAATTCTGGCTCCACGTGGGTGAAGCTTGAGGTCATAGCATCCTTACCTTGCATCTGGAGGAGGCAGGAGAGTTTGCAAAGCTCTGTTGTTGCCTCTGGCTCCATTTTCCCTCACTGCTAATTCACTGTTACTACCTGTAAAAAATTCTAATATGCTTCCTGAAATTGAAGAGAAAGCAGGCACCTTTATTTCCTTATCAAATACTCACTATGTTATGAAAAAGGAAACCCTCTTGGCTTGGTGCAGAGTAGACAAACCTATGATATTGTTATGTATTGTTACCAGATTCATGACAGGAATAGATTAAGTGAATTTTATTCAAGTTATCTATTTCCCATTGCAGTACAGTACTGCATATTTCTAATTTGGTGGCTGCTATGACTTTATATACTGCTTATTTTCTGGAAAAATTCGCACAGAAAAAACTATTTTTCCTCTTTGCTTTTTAAAGTGCAAATTATTATGCAGCTTTACATAAATTTGCCCGCGATGTCTTTTAAAAATTCTTCTTAATTTTCAAAAAATTGAAAATGTATCTCCTTCAATTTTATCACCTTTCATTCTCATTGGAAACCTGATCCATGGTAGGTATTAAGATCTTTACATTTCTACTGGTTGGGCGATGACTTCATTGCTTTCACGCCAGCTGGGGAATCTTGTGTGGTGGAACATTGGACCAAAGTGGAGCTGTGTGTTGCTGCTGTTGCTGCTGCTGCTGCAACAGCCGTTTGCATGCATCCAGCTGCTGTGTAAGGAATCCTCAGGCTACTCGTTCTTTGCTCCTAATTCACCGAAGGTATCGCAGGCTGATGGATGAGTGTATGTATGCATATATGTATATATGTGTATATGTGCGTGTGTGTATGCACATGTCGCTGCAACAGTTGGACATCAGCAACAATGGATTTCGATATTATTTTTTTACCAACGACAGGAATAAAGAGTCTTTCATTCTTTATTTCCAAGCAGTGCCTCGGTTCCCGCTCTAAATGTGCTTGCTCTCTGCTCTTCCCGGACCCCCGGTCGCCCCGCACGTGTTCCTCCGGAGGGAGGCCAGGATAGCTGCGTTGCAGGCAGGATTCCCCTTTTTTTCCGCAGTGACAGGCGGATTCCCGGGCCTTCTCGGCCCCTCCACCCCCTGCAGCCGCCCCTTTCCCAGTCACGATCTCCCCCCCCCCACTGCGTCCCTCCCTCCCCACCGACACCTCGCGGCTCGGGCCCCGCCCCTCGCAGCCACCCAGCCCAGGTTGCTAGGGCCTGGCGGGGCAACCAAACTGGCGCGCGAGGAGGCGCGCGCGCGCGCAGGCGAGCTTACACAAGGAACGAGCGGTCTTTGGCTTCGAGGATCCGAGCACGAGCGGAGCGGGCGGGGCGCGCGAGCCCGAGCGCGAGCACGAGCGTGCTCTCTGCATTGGCTCCTACTAGAAGTAGGCGAGGGCTGAGGCGGGACCTGGCGGGGTGTGAGGCGCTTCCCCATTTGCCCGAATAGACGGCCGGGGCGGGGCAGTTAGCAAATTAGGCTGCGCGTTCGCTTCTGCGAGAGGGCGGGGCCGGAGGTTTCGATTAGTTGTCGCTGCCGCTGGGGAAGGTAAAGCGGCGACGGCGGCGGCCTCAGGAGCTGTGGGGTCCCCGGCTGGAGGTGGGGGACTCGCCGGGTGAGTAGTCGCGCCGTCACCCGCCCGGCAGGCCTTGTTGTCCACACATCGGCCCCGCGCCCCCCCAGCTTCTCCCTAGAGAGGGGACCCACCCGGTCCCCCCGGGCAGACGGGAGAAGCGGCGGCGGCGCGGGTACCCCCAGAACAGGGCGACGCGGTGAGGGCGTCCCAGTCTGGAGTGGCTCCTTCTCAGCGCCCCATTGCACCGCCGGAAGGGAGTCCCCGCTGATGGTCTGGGGATGTATTTTGGGATGTGGGGAGACGAGAGGGTATGAGGAGGGGCGGCGGATCGAGGCCGCCCCCCGGGGCTCCCCTCAGCGGCGGGTCTGCGGCGTCCCCGCCGCCCCCGCGGCGCTAGCTCCCTCGGGCTTGCGGTGAAGGAAGCCCCTTCCCGCGGGCGCCGAGGTGGAGCCTGCGCACCTGAGCCCCCCGCCCGAGTTCAGAGGGAGCCTGGGACCTGCTGACCTTGGCTGCCCAGAAGGGTGGGCGAGAGACCCACCGCCTGACCCGCGTCTCCTCCAGCCTCCCCCAAACAAGTTTCGGGCGTCGCTACGAAGTTCACGACTGGCATAGTGGGGTGAGGGGTGGGGAAGCAAAATTGGCCCTTTCCCAGACCTTCGTACCCTTTGTACCCTCATAGAAATTAAATCTTGGGGTTTGGAATCGTCTCCCAGAACGAACAGGTTCTGTTCGCATTGACTCGTCTTGTGCCCACGTTGGGGAAAAAAATAACCAGAACATATTTCAGTGTAAAGGCAGATCTTCCTTGAGGGTTTTGTTTTTCGCTTCACTTGAGTGTTAAAGCACAGATGCCTGAATAAGAAAAACCTGACCTTAGTATCTTAGATTAGACGGATGCTGTGATATTTAAGTAGTTGCAGATCAGTGTTCTGTTTAACACAATCTATTTTAATTGGCTGAAATGTAAGCTGATTTTAGAAAGTCTCGCAGACACAGAATAATTTCTTTCCGTGCATCTGAATTAGGTTTGTTGGGACGTAATGGTTATGTAGTTAATGTGAAAGATTATACAGATTAATTTGTCTGAGAGCATTTGACTGAAACAGGAGACATAAATATGTATGGAATAGGGTTCTCATTTTAGGTAACATCTGCTGGAACATTTCCAGCTTGTTCCTTGCTGTAGGGTTACAAAAAAGACATCTTTTCCGAGGCTATTATTTGCAATTATATGTCAATGACATTTATATGTAAATTTGTTTTTAATTTCTTTAAGGGCTTTTAAATATTTTATTCACAAAATGTGAAGAAGCTATGTTTACTGTTGAAGGCGGTAGTATAATCTTATATTAACAACCCAATTAGGGTTTATTAATAATACGTTTTTTTTAAAGGTGTGTGACTTTTTGAGAACATGATAGTTGAGTACCTTAGCAATCCTTTTAATTTATTTATTAAAAGTACTATTTTAGATTTGAGCATTTTTGGCAGTTGACACTAGAACAGGAGTAAGGAAGCCTGCAGCGGTATTACCAGTTTGACACCACCAGTGGGTGTTTCTGTTGACAAATGCAGAGAAGAGAACATTTGGGAAGGAAATCTCGCCCCCCCCCCATGTGGTGGGGGGTGGGAGAGATTGGAGGGGTGGAGGGTGAAGAGGGTAGGAGCCAGAAGAGAGAAGCTGTAGAACTAAAGCTGCCAGTACAGTGTATGCTGAGCATTTCACAAGTACAAGGGAACCTAATTAGGGTAAAAAAAAAATTAAATTTGGTTATATTAAATAATAGAACTCCAAAAGATGAATGCTAAATAAAGTTAATCATTCCAAGAGTGTTTAAAAAATCTACCATTTCAGAGAGTTGGAGGGTCTTCAGTTGGCAAGAGCATCAAATCCCTTTGAATCATCTTGCCTTTTTAACATAATGCAACGATTAATTTGATATATAACAGTTTAATATTTTAATTTTGCTTACTTAGCATGTTTTCTAAGCCTAATTGTTTTAAAAACAAAACTTGATACCTTTTTAAAATAATTGGAAATAAACATTCTTTCTCCAGAGAGGATTTCTTTTTCTTGCTCAGATTTATAATTTATTCATGATTTAGGGGCTGGTGGTAGGGAATTTTTTTACCCTTTTTATCTCAGGTTTTTAATTTTAACTTATGCAAGTTCCCTGCTAAATCTGCCGTTATTTTCATTGAAATTTTCTTGGAATTATTTAAACCAGAATGTGGCATCTACAGTGTGCCCTGGGGTTTTAAAAGAAAAGACTCCCATTGAGGGAAATTGCAGGGCCATCTCGTATAGATGAGTAATAGAAGGTTGACTGATTGCGAATCAGATGTATTCTGTTCCACATATGCTGCATGGGGCTAAGGCAGTCTCATTTAATGAGAACGAAATTGTGCGTGGTATTTCTACTTTGAAGGTGCAGTATTGTTACATTACAATCTGAAATACAGAGGTGGAGAAATTAATTCATGTATGCTTTTACCCCCTAGCCTTGCTTCACCACTGTGTCCAAGAATCTTTGAGAGACTCTTTCAACAATAGTTGCATTGTTGGAAATGACAGTGGCTTCTGTTGCAGGAATTTAACCTTTCATTTGATTTATGTTTCAATTTACTGTGTGATAGAAAATTCAGCTGTATCTGAGAATATGACTGTAGGAAATTTTAAGGAAGTGAGCAGAGATTAAAACAAGTCTCTTCACTGTGTGTGTTGAAAGTTTACCTTTTAACCCCTTCCATTTTAATAACTTTGATGATTATCTGCTTTATTTCTTCTGGATATTAGAAGGTATGCTAATATAGTATTTTATTTTTGGCAGTTAGTGGGGAGATAATGACTTTTTCATGTAATAAATTCATGTCAAATAATAACAAGGCATGTAAGAACAAATGAATTCATGTGCATAGATCCAAAATGTGAGGGAAATCCTTTGGGTAACCCTTAACATTGGTACAAGAACAGCAACATTTGAAGTTAATATTAAGTTGCTTTCTAAGTAGGAAAAGCTGTTTACCCAGGATTTGATAATTTTAGATTCTAAAGTTTTATTTTTGGCAGCATCAAATTTCTTGCTAGAGGAGGAGAAAGAATTTCAAAGGTTCTTTATCATCTGATGATGGTGTCAGATGGATTCCATATTTCAATTTATGAAAATAATGAAATTAAAATACTATATTTCAACTTTCTGTGAAGCTTTTCTAATTTATATTCAGTCTTAACCTCAACATTAGAAATTTTTTTGTTGGCAATGCACCATTTTAGTGTTTGGATTCAGATTCTTGATAGTTTTTAGATAATTTCCTATACATAGAGTAGTACCTGAATGATTAGATTACACAAAGGTCTGGCCTCATTTTTCATTCAAATTTGCATACTTCTTAATACTAAGATCTGGAAGCCGAGAATGAGGACCTTCTACCTAAAGAGCCTTATAACATTTAGACAATTCAGATTGGATATCAACAGGAAATTATTTGTTACATTAAAAGGACCTAGCCCCACCTGGCCAGTGTGGCTTAGTGGATTGATTGTCATCCCATGGACTGAGAAGTCCAGGTTCAATTCCTGGTCAGGGCACATGCCTGGGTTGTGGGCTCAATCCCCAGTAGGGGGTGTGCAGGAGGCAGCCGATCCATGTTTCTCTCTCATATAGATGTTTCTATCTCCCTTTCCCTTCCTCTCTCTCTAAAAAATTCAATGAAACATATTTTTAAAATTTTAGAAAAAGGACCTAGCCCATTCAGGTCTGTGAAATTGTCACCAGTTTAATTAAGCTCTTTAAGTACTTAGAAGCATTTGTGTTTGAGATAGTTATAATTAGAGTCAAGTTTTGGGTATGGTCTCTCTTTTGGGTAGTCTTCTGTAATAATTAAGATACAATATTCTATTTATTGAGCCTTGTTGAATGCCAGATACTATGGCAGATAATTTATTTGCATGGATATACGTGTGTACGTGTGTTCTCACATCTCTTTATTTCCTGTATATACTTGGCCAAATGACCTCAGAGAGAGAAAATAATTTGCCCAAATTACCCAACTAGTCATCATCAGAGGCAAAACTTCCATCCAGACTAGTCTGACTTGAATCTGTGCTCTTCAAAACCATGCTTTCTTCTTCTCTTTAGAATCTGATTCCACTTCTGGGGTGGTACTAGAGATATCAGTATACCTCCTGGAGTTCACAGGCTACATTGGCAAGGCCATATAACCTTTAGTCACATGGGAGGCTGGACTCAGATCCATCAGTACTGCTGCATAGGACAACTGGAAGCGCAGACTTTTCTAAGAGCGTCATTAGTTCTGTTTCTTCATAAACGAAGGTTGTACCTAATTATTTACACCCAAAATGAGTACTGTTTCTAATGAACCACTTGCTATTTCATGTTTATGCATGTTTCATTATAACTTTTGACTGACTGTGATTAAATTTGCTACACTAATAAAGGCTATGAAGATACTTCTTGAATGCAATTTTGTGGTTTGATGCACTCTTGAAATAAAATAGCAGCCATTACAACTTGCAGATGGTATCTCTTCTGTAAACGTAATGACCTAAGTGAAGTAAAAGCTGGAGATGAAGTCTGCAGACATATATTACTGTTGCTTCTTAATGCATAGAAGTTGAACTCTGACAATTTTTTTTACTTGAAAGTAGAATTTTCTACTACTACAAGCATCTCATGAGTGTGTGTGTTTAAACAAGACCTGTCCCTAAGAGCTAAACAGTTGCTTAGCCCAAAGGAGCACTCAGAGGTTCATGTTAGGGAGGAAAAGGACTTAATATCCTATTCTGTAATTTATGAGAATCACTTTTGTCACTTATTAGAGTTAGAAAGGAGTGATGAATATCATAGGACCTCAAGGCTGGAAATCATCTTGATCAGAGCAGGACAGTTATTCTACAAAGATGGGACCTATACATAGTTCTTGTGGGTTTCTTTACCAAGTGTGGGTTTTCAATATGCATTTTTCACAGCTTTATTGAGGTGTACTTTAAAAGTGCATATCATAAAATTCAGCTCTTT